CCCCAAAACCCCAAAACCCCAAAACCCCATGAAGGTGTTATTTACAATTTTGAGTGTCTTATATTAAAGAATAAAATATTTAATAAGCTCCCTTACGTTTGAAATATATTTTATTTATTTCTACATAGAAATGGCTATTACAAGATATTAAAGTATAAAATGTATAAGATTTTTCCTTGCTGCAATTTTTATTTTACTGGCACCTATAAAACTTGATGATTAATTCGAAACTTAATGTAACGCCTCTATTTATAGAGAAACTTCGTAATAGGAATCGTTAGGTTTTATTAAAGGGAACTTATAATAGTGTCCCATTAAACAAGAAGAGATACAGCAAGGAAAGATTGCCTTTCTCTTCATGGTGCGTATAAATCTCTTTAGTCCCTAAATATGGAACATGTTTTTTGAAAATGCTGACTAAAATAAGTACTCTATTTACTATCATTCAAAGTAAAGCAAAGATGATACAGCATTGAACATAACAAGTAAAAATAAGCCAATTAATGTACCTGAAGTACCAACTGAATGGGGAACTATAAGCATTTGGCTCTTAATGAACTAATTATTAAGATACTCATTTTCAGATATGAAAAATCAAAGATTCGTATTCATAAGCTAAGCATGTATTCCTTTATATAGCTTTGATGAAATTTATGAAATGGTCATGAAGGAAGAAAACTCTTAAATATTTTACGCTGATAAAGCTTAAATTTTCCCAAGATATGGAATTTTAGATTAATACTTCTCAAAATCGTAGATAGTGAAACATCATTAATGGGTTCTTTTTACAAGAAAGCATGTATCTTTGTTGTTGAGTGAAAAAAGTAAGTGGGAAGCAAATCTTTAATCTTTATAAGAAAAACAAACAAAAAAAGAATGGTTTCCAGATGAAGCAATATATGGAACCTTACTCAATCATTATGGTCAACAAGATAGTATAACGAATAAGTGTGTGACATATGTTGATTGGAAGTATTAATCTGGAGTGGTTAGATTTGAATTAGTTGATAAAGATGTAATATTTGAAGCTAGAACTTAAGGATGCTTATTTTTAAGAAAAATAATGCCTGAAACTTAGTATAATGAAAATGCATTGGATTTGGTGAGAGGAAAGAAAAAATGATTTGATAATATTGAGATTAGTGAGAAGATTTCGGGGATTTTCTCATTGAACTAAGACATTTATTTCATTTTAACTACATTTAACTAAATATCTATACTTAAATTCATTATTACTATTCAAAATTTCTAGAATCTTGGGGTTTTGGGGTTTTGGGGTTTTGGGG